CAATTCTAAGCATTGAGCTTTACTCAAAACAATTCACTGCTCACGCCATCTAAGCTTGCAAGACACGCCTATCCCATCCAACATGACCCCGTCTACTATCAACAACAGATTAAGGCTGATCAGTTCCTCAATTTGTCAATAGACAGCCGAAAACATGATGGGGTATAAACCATCTTTACCAAACTATAAGAGCGTTCAACCACACACTGAGCTACAACTCTACACTTGCAGCATCCTGGAGAAGCACAACTTCTCCTCCACTTGTTTCATTCCCACTTCTGCAGACAAAGGTTAGGCAACAAACATGTACCGACAGTGTTTTCACACACATGTCGCATACCAGGGAACAACAACATTAGCAACTTGGCCGGACGGACCGACCTGCTCTAATACCACTAATGTAACACCCTTATTCTACCCCACAGATATTACGACAAAATAACACGGATTTCAGAGTAAAATATTAACTTTCATTAAAAAGCCACAAAGGGCGTACATTTCTCAAAGTCAACAAAATTGGTCAATACTCTATAACACACGGGTTTTCTCAAAATACATCAAAACATCATATACAACGGAACTCAAAACATAACTCAATATTTTCCTCATAAGGGAACACCAGTAAAATAACCCAATGATATACAATCAACTCAAGAACCCAACCCGATGTTACATATCAGAGCAAGACCCTCTAAATTAACCATAAAGGCTAACGACTCTAAAACGTCCCAATACTCCTCGACGGCGTCCACGGCTAAACTTGCTCATCTGCACGTTACCCACGTGGAGGTAACATTCAAACAGGCAGGGTGAGTAAGACAATTCATAATAATCAATGTATAACAATTAATGCATAAACGACATATTACTCATAGTTATATTCAACACATTGATATTCTTCAATTATGCCTCAAAGGCCACAATGTCATAATTATACACAAAGGCTCATAAATGCAAATGCAACATAGACTCAATGCATGTGGTACCAATCATCACAACGCGATGGACACTGGGCCATCAACCCTCCATAGATCCCCATCAATAGGATCGGAGCACATCAAAATACTTCACATCCACACAGTGGGATTGAAGTCAAATTAATCGAGGTCCTGAACCGAAGTCCGGATGCACATGAATGCATGATGCACACTTCACAATAATCCTCATAATAACATCATAGGTGCATCATCATTCATCATATTCGTCATATTCATCATCATCAAACGTCATAGCTCATCAACACAGTCATCATCATACGTGACGTCATCATAACTCATTATAATAATCATCTTCATACTTCATAGCTCATCATAATAATCATCATCGCCACATAAATCATCGTATCTCACATAACTCACCATAATAATCATCGTCTTCACATAAATCATCATATCTCATGTTATCACATAATTCATCATAATAATCATCATCATTACATAAATCATCATCACATAAATCATCATAATTCATCAAACATCATATCATCATAATTCATCATAATAATTAATCTCACACATCATCTCATCATATAATCACGTACAAATCACATATTAGCTCATAGTCATATTATCACATATTATCCCATATTAGTTCATCATACTACCCCATATTATCTCATATTAATTTATCAAATTGTACTCGTGGTAATCCTTACACTATCGCCCATCAATCACGTAAACTTCATAGTCCTATTCATGTTAATTCATCATATTATCACAGTTACCCCCATGGTAATTCATCAGGAAAATCGCAGCATCAAAACATCAAGACATCACTGAACCAGAACATGATTCGTTACTAGAACATATACCCAATTGAATTCTCAAAAATAATTAGATATAAGAATATTGAGACACCAATTTCCTTATCTATACTATGTTATAGCCTTGTTTATTAGCTTTACAACACTTCAAACGGGGATCCAAACGGACTTACGGATCAAAAGTTACGTCAAAAACGATTTCGACCGAAAACATGAACAGTCGTGACGGACAGCAAAACGCTATTACGCTCCGGAACCTAAATCAACCCAAAAGTCCACACGATTCACTTTTCCAATGCCTCCAAAACATCCCTAAATCATCCCTAAGGTCTTACGGCAATAAAGGCACAAAATCTATGGTTTATTAGGCCAATCTGGCAACATTTGTACTACGTAAAACACTATTTTTCTGCCATTGCTGCTCTGAGTGCATCAGAGTTACTCACATTGAATATTCTTATTCCTACAAAGTCAAACATATCACAATTCAAGGTTTTGGCCACGAAGGCCTAAGGTTTCCCTTCTCATATCAATATTCAGTGTTATATACCATTACCCCTAACCTCAAAACCTTATCATCAAATTCTCTATTTTCCCATAACCAACCCAAAATACCTTAAATCACAAACTAACCATAAACACGTCTAAAGGCATACATAGAAAATTATGAAAAGTCATACTCTCCATACCTTAGCCGATTTGCAGCTTTCACGATTAATCTTCGGGGACCTTTTGCCTCCAACCTTTCCTTCAGAGCTCTGGCCACCAAACTTTCACGTTAAACACAAAATGAAATCTAATTTCCTTTCAGAACTCAATTTTGTCTAACTTAGTCTTGGGCCCCACAAATTGGGCTTTTCCCTCTTTACCCTTACTAACTCTTCAGAATGTCAAATTTACCCTTATTTCACTTATATTCATTTTAATCAATAATAATACTAATATTCTCATATAGTATATTATTAATTAAATAAATAGTCCAAAAATGCTCATTTTCTCAATAATCCGCAAAACCACCGAAAACCACCCAAAATACAAATATTCTTAATTAAATAATTAATTAAAATATTCCGCTTAAATGTGGGGTGTTACAGTATCCATGCAAGAAAAACTCAAGGAAATCGGGAAGAACAAGACCAGGGAGCTTGTAGAAAATTCAATCAAGAAGTCAATTGATGTGAAGTGGGTCTACAAGTTAAAGCTAAGACCAAATGGTAAAATTTACAAGCATAAGGCAAGACTGGTGGCAAGAATTTTCTTGCAAAAACTTGGTATCAACTTTGACGAAGTCTATGCACATGTTGCAAGGTTGGAAACCGTCAGAATTGTTGTGTCGAACGCAAGATATAAAGGATGGAATGTACATCAATTAGATGTAAAATAAACATTTTTTAATGGACTATTGGAAGAGGAGGTATATGTCAGTCAGCCATCAGGATTCGAAATCAAAGGACAGGAATAAAAGGTGTACAGATTGAGGAAGACTCTATATGGTTTGAAGCAAGCCATAAGGGCTTCGAATAAGAGAATATTTAGTTTTCTGGTTGAGGCAGGTTTCCCAAAATGCATCCCAAAACATGGAGTATTTGTCAACAATGCAAGCAGGCTTAGTCAAGTCATTATATGTTTGTATGTGGATGACTTGTTGATTACATGTGCAGATGAAGCAAAAATAAAAGGGGTCAAGTCGAAACCAATGCAGGAATTTGAAATGTCTTGCCTAGGGAACTTGCCATGTTTCTTAGGGATGGAGTTTTAAGACACAAGTGAATGAGTGTTCTTGCGCCAGATGAAATATGCCCAAGATATCTTGAAATGATTTAAGATGAGAAATTGTAATGAATTTATCAAACCATTGGAGATTGAAGCAAAATTGAGAAAGGATGCAAATGATGAGTTTGTAAGTGCAACATTGTACGAGCAAATCATTGGATCCTTAAGGTATCTATGCAACATCAGGCCATATATTTTTCAAAGTGTCTACTTATTTAGCTGATTCATGGAGAAGCCACAAGAATGTTATCTCACTGCGATGAATAATATTGTGATACATAAAAGGTACAGTCAATCATACTGTGTTGATGCGAAGGTAAAAGAATGACAACGCAGATGCAGAAGTACATGATTACATCGACTCAAATTTCAATGGAGATCAAAATGAAAATAAGAGTATTGCATGCAACATATTCATGATTGGAGGTGCTTCAATCTCTTAAAGCTAAAAAAGCAAAGAATTATAGCTTTGTCATCTTGTGAAGCTGAGTACGCACGCAAGCACGCACGCGCGCGCACACACACGCACACGCACGCGCGCGCACACACATATACACACACAAAATGTCACACACAAAATGTCACCCTCTAGTAAAAATGGTATAATAATTATCAAATCAAGTATCAAACTATTTTTGTATTGTTTCAATTCAAGATCACCCTCCAGTTTTCCCTGATGGTATAACCAGCTTAGTGTGACTCTATTTTTGAAGATTATGTGCTAATTCACATGATTTTAACGGCAGTAACTTGTGACACTCTCTAATGACCGACAGATTATAAATAATAGTTAGTAATTAATAATTAATAAACTAATTGAAGTGTGTAGTAAAATTAACAAATCGATTAAAATATAAAATGACATAAAGACATTTCATGCCTCTTTATTTTATTTTAAATTAAAATAAATTATAAAGGATAAACAAAAATTTTTGTTAAAATAATAAGGATAAAAATGAAAGTAAAAATGACAACCCATAAGCTAATATATTAATTAAAATAACATTTGAAAAATAAACATAAACTAATAAAATAAATTATAAATTCTTTTACAAGTATAAATTAATTATCATATGAGCTTATAAACTATAAATTCAAAAATATAGCTTACCAACCAATTGATTCATCATTCTTTTCAGTTGAGCTAATGGCGAGGCAGTTGATTTTATTGTTTTCTTGTTTAATACACTTGAGCTTTTCAATTCACAAATATTTTTTCTATTTTGCAATACAACCATTAGTATTGAGCCTCAGACCAAAGATAACGAAATACTACTAATCAGGACATATGGAATGGCAAAATAAATCAACCAGTCACCAGTATGGCATGTACAAAATAATTTGTTATATTGAGTAACTTAAGGCAATAACTTCACAAATGTTCTACATTTCAGATGAAAAAAACGGATCATTTGAAAACAATGTTCTATTTGATAACCCAAATTATACAGATTCTGGCCTATTTTCACTTGTGGAGGATACTCTTCCTTGACATTTTCGGTTTCTTCTGAATATGGTTCTACAATGCAAACAACAAGTTATTTAAGTTAGAAATACAAGAAAATGCATTAACAAATTTCAAATCTTTGACAAAGTAAATTGCTACCTTCTGTTTCTCCAGTGCATCATAATCAGTTCTCTCCCTCCACTTACTCTTGCGTAGTTTTATTGGCCGGTTTCCGACATATTTACCTGAAAACAATATATCAAAATCAGGGTACTCAAGTTATTGAGTTTGCTACAATCATATCTACCTACATCAACAACAATACTCAGAGAACTGTCCAACTAGAAGAGATAAGTTATTTAGATCAATGAGTGCATAATGTCCCATGGATCATATAATAAACTAGACCACATAATTCCAAACTTCCCTTAATGATTGGACTCTTACTTAACAGTGGTGGTGCTTCTATTCTATGGACCTTTTCCACACATGACCAAACCACCCAGAACAAGATTCTATCCGATTTTCTATGATGGGAACTACTGTTACCGTCTTGCTGATAATTTCATTCTTAGTCCTATCTTGCCTAGTGTGGCCAATCATCTATAGAAGAATTGTCATCTAAACAACATTGACCTTGTTTCTTGTTGGCTTATTGACAGAATTCAATGATGGGATTAGATACATGTGATTAATCCATGTATTTATGTATAAAAGAAACAAATTTCCATCACAACCTCCTTTTACATAACTGTATGAATGAACGGGTCTGCAAAGAATTTTCAAACCATATTTTAAATTTATAATTCCAAATCTTGCTTTTGATTTTGGCAAAAGTGTATACCCTAATTTAAGTCATTGTATCTGATTCTTGCATGGAACTATTTGCACTGAATAAAAGCATATATATTTAGACATGACATAATAATACTTAAACGAACAGGTTCCTTGTTGATTTAGGCAAACCTATATCCCTAACTTAAAAGTCAATATTATTATCTGGCATTATATAATTTTCATTGAAATATTGAACCAAAGCACATAGTCAGGCATGACATAATAATACTTAAAATATATGCATGTGATTTTCATCAAAGGGTCATCAGAAGAAAAGAAAGAAGAAAGACACGACATAATGAGAAAAGATGTTCATAGAAATCTGCAAATTACTGACCATTCATTTCTTTAAGAGCAGCAGCAAGGTCAGCAGGGTTGGCAAAGCTTATAAATCCATAACCCTTTGTTTTTCCAGTTCGCTTATCTCTAACAACCTAGACAAGATCAAAGATACTTTTAATCACAGCAAATTACAAAGAAAACACATGCACCACAAACATATTAGCAAATAATAAACACAACGTTAGATAGAAGACAAGCAAAATCTGTAAATTAAATACAGCGAACAGACTGCAACATAAACAAAAGTTCTTCATATGAATTTAAGTACACATCTCCACTTTTAAATAACACACCCTCTTCTTTCCGGTAACAAAATTTAGAGCAATAAAACTCTAAGTCACAAGAGCTACTAAACACATGTTCTTATATTTATTATTTATTAATCTATATTTTTGTAAATGATGGCCATACAGAATGCAGATTCTGATTGGCTTCAAGTTTCATCAGATTTGATGTAATGCACAGATTATTCAGTATCCACATATTCCAATAGGAAAGGAGATACCTTGACACAATAACCAGTCTACAAACAGAACTACATTTGGGAGTGCTTATGGAAACAACTTATGGCAGCTCATAAGTTGTTTTCAGCATATTTCTATATGATAGCTCATGTAATCAGCTTATAGCTTATATGAAAACAATGACTTTATTTAATCTTTTTTGTAGAAAAAATGAGGCTAAAAGTGCTAAATTAAGTTATTTATCCAAACAAGGTTATATTTTTGAACGAATTCCACAACATTTTCTAGAAGAAGTTACTAATCTGTGTCCAAACTAGTAAATTTATATCAGCTAATCAAAATCAGAAAGTCAACCTGCTTCCAACTGACTTTTGAGATCCCAAAACAAACAATAGGCACAACACTATTTTAAAACAAATCGAGCATTTAAATTTAAGCACGTTAGACTATGTCACCATTTAATAATTTTGAGTGCCCCTGATTTGTGAACCATGAGCAATGATGAAGGAAACCCTGAGATGACAAAATAATGCATCAATTTAATCATACAAAATGCTTGTTTTAAATGTAAATTATGAAGCAAGACCTACCTTAAGATACACAAATCATTAACAACTCTGTCCCTTCAAACAAAAATCTGAGAAGGAAATACAAAATGCTAAAACTAAACCAACCATTACTAAAAGTATAAGAATTTCAGTTAGATAAGTTGTCCACTTACTCTTGCCATGTTAAAGGAAGGGAATCGTGTGAATGCCTTTGATAGAACATCATCATTGACTTCATTACCAAGATCACCACAGAAGAGTCGATAATCATCTGATTATACAAAGCAGTAAAGATAAATCAGTCTATGAACAGTTATCTATCTTCTGTTAATGTCATACAGAGAGAACAGGATACTACATATTTACATATTAAAAAAAACATAGCACAACTCCTAAACAACATAATCCATCGCCAAATGAATCGTGCTCATCAGAAGAGCAAGAGAAGACCAGGGGAATGGTTAACTCCAATTGTAACAGTTACAAGAAAATGATAATGACAAGTCATGAAGAGGGATGAAATAAAAACAGAAGAGAGACAACTTCCAAATCACATATATCTCATAAACAAGAGAGTTTGGACTGGTAAATAAACTTCAACAACTTTAATTTCTTAATTTATTTCTCCAAATCTGATTAACAATATTATCCATAGACTAAAAATCTGTATTAAATAAGTCTACATAAAACAACGCCATGATCTATAACATTTTGCGATGTCTTGTTTCTCATCAAGCGGATATAAGGTTGACTTGGTAGCTGGGGTGAGGAGTTGAGTGATAAGGATGGTCTTGGGTTCTATTCCCATCTCTAGCGTTAACAAATTAACAATTAACATACTAACATTGACCATTGTGATTGTACACATTATTTCTACCTAGCATTATTGCTACCATAGACTCACAGACCACAAGTTAAAAACCTTCCTAGCTCCCAAGTATCATAAACTCATAATCAGTCATTAGGCATGTAAGTTATGACAGGTTGCATCTCTAAACAAAATGTTCAAAATCCCAAATCAAATTTTCCATATAGGCACAAGATAAAAATCACAAAACACGGACACAATCAAAATCACTACAGAAAAAACGACTTGGGGAATAACAGTTTATAGGGTGACCAACAAAGTTCCAAACACATACTACATCTCACGACAAAACTTCCAATAAACATTAAAATTACAATAAATTAACAAATATAAAAAAAAAATTAAATAGCAATAACAAAAACCTCATCATACAATACCTTCAGGCCACTCTGCAAGTATAGGATCCTCCCAAGCTTGTCCAGCAGCTTTCCGAGGAACAGCTTTCTTTTTCGTCTCAGCTTTATGCTCAACATCGCTACTCGCAATCGCTGCCTTCACATTCTCAAGAGCCTCCGGCGTTATTATTTGTGCATCCCTCTCAAATAACTGCTGCGCCTGTTCAATCAAACAACGAAAAAAAACAAATTAATACCAAATTCTCTTTTCATAAATTTCCAAATTAAAAAAAAAAAACCTACCTGATACTGCGGCACGGAGTAAGCAGACGGCGGGGGAACGGGACCAACTACTGGTGGCGGAGGAAGTTGCACAGTCGGAGCGGCAACATACGGTGCGGCGTAGTGAGTAGTGGTTGCAGGTTGTTGAAGGTGAAAGGGAACGGGAAAGTAAGGAGCGTTGGAATATGCGTATTGCGATTGAGAGGATGAGGAAGAAGATGGTGTCGTCATGGAATTGGAACAAATAGCGAATCGATTATCTGCAACGTTCGATCGAATTGGGAAGAAAAAATCGCGTTTGGTTTAGGTTTAGGGGTTTCGATTTCGTTGCTAGATCATAGATTGATTCTATTGACTCCAGATTTTTCTTTCTTCCAAGTGGGTCCAATCAAACTATAAATACTGTGTTCTAACATCTAGCTGATTGGGCTAGTGTTAACCACGGGCCTAATATTCGTATGGGCTTATTTATAAATGACGATATAAATAATGAAAGGAAAAGCTACTCGCACCCCTATCTACCTTAAAACGAATTGTATCATTCAAAACACCCTGCCAACGCACTAATCTGCATTACGGGTGTTAGTGGGCCAATTTAGTTTGGTTTTGAGAGAATTTGATTTTAAATTGATTAAAAATATATGAATTCGTTAGAATTGAATTTTTACATTTATTCTACAAAATTCAAACGGAACCAAATCAAAAAATAGCAGATTGGTTTGAATTAGGTTGATTGGATACATAAAATAAATATGCAAAAATATTTTTTTAAAAAAATTAATTTACCTTAACTAATTTTCTATAATAATTTTTTTTTTTTATACAAGTTGTGAATGTCACAAATGACGTTTTATTTTTCTTCCTTTTTAAAGTTGAACATCTTATACTAGTTTCCATAATAATGATATAGATTATATATATTAATATGTTTGATACGGATAAACGGGCTCACTGGTAGAATTTTAAGAACCTATTGTCTGAACCAACTAACATTGGATTTTATTGGTTTGATGTGCTTTTTTGTCTGAACTAACAAAAATATCTGACCTAAACACAATGGTTTGGTTTGAATTTCGGTTTGATTTGGATTTTCTCAAACCAATAAATACCCCTAATTTGCGTAAGTATTTTTTTATTTGAAACTTAAAGATGAAATTTTTTTTCTTTAAAGAAATGGAGAACAAAATTTCATAGAAGACATTTTGGAGATGGGGAATATATCTCAGCACAATATAGATTTTTATAATATATCTTTAAAGTATATAATTTTAATTTTTTTTTGTCTTTTCATTATGTATATATAAAATTAGTAAAAGAGAAATGATTGTTTTAGTTTTTTTCTATCTAAATGACAATGTAATGGTCAAAAATCTCATGTTTTGATTTTTTTTAACTATTAATTTTTTATTATTTTTATGAATTTTTGCAAAATTATAAGGATTCATAGGGACGGAGAACAAAACTCTCTTGTGACGAAGATTTAAGGTAAAGATGAAAAATATATCTGAGGGACAGGTGTTAGCTTGAAAATTTTATATAGGGAAGAGTGAATTGAATTTTGCATTGGAAAAAATGTTAAGTGTTAGCATTGATTGACACAAGTCGACAAGAACGAATAGGTCGACAAGGACGTTTCGACTAGCATGGAAGAATTTCAAGAGCAAATCTTGAAACATGGTTTGAAGGAATCTCAAGAACAAATTTAATTGATCTCTCGACACCGTGTTAAAGTCGAAGCGTTCGACGAACTTCAAGGACTTAGTATTTTGGAAACTGAAAACGTAAGAGAGGTTTTAACACTAAGGGTTTTTAGCAACCATCTTCGACGAACATGCAGTTATTAGTCACTAGGGGCAGTTACGAACGTGGAATAATGGTTTTCAGCAGTTTGTAAGTTCTGACAACGTGGCAGTGCTTCAGAAGACTAAGTTGCGTGTTCTTAAAGACGTGTCTATTTTCTATAAATAAGTTGTCGGAGGAAGATACCTTCAGTTTAGTATGAATAGCAGATTCATATATTGTAATCAAAGTCACAAAATTCATATACATTCTTTATAAAACTGGAGTACCCAAGTCAAAGAGTGGAACGGTTTGTGAGTAACATGTGAGTTTGCATCCCTTTTCTTTATTATCTTTGTGTTTCCTTAATTGAAACACTGTTCCATTCTAGTCATTTATTGCATTTCATTTAATGTCATTTATTGTAGTTTTTCTTTCGATTTAACTCAAGCTTTTGCATCATTAAAGTTTGTTTTCATTTTGTTTGCATACACATTCATAGTAACTTCACACGTATACTTTCTTTGTAAACATGTTTTGTATAAATTGCTCTCGAGAGTTTTTTGAGTTAATTTCATAGAATATTTAAACCATGATTCTTCGCTATAAACACCTGCGAACAAATTGGCACGCCCAGTGGGACGTTTTGTGCAAAAAAAATCGTTTATTTAACAAGTTATTGTATTTTTAGACATTTCTGTTTTACATGAAATATTATCAATGTCTGGAGTTATATGTGTCTGAGGAATGGAAATTTTTTAGCAAAAATGGTTAACCCAAAAATACTTTTCGTGCCCAAAATGATGCTTCAAACCCATATTCAACAGTCACTACAACAGTTAGTACAATATGGGCATCGAATCCTGTAAAAGTTACAGGCTCAATCCTGATTCGAGTAGTGTCTTCGACGTTAATACCATGAATGGTAGTTTCCTTACCGTCGGTAAAGAATATCCCAACTACCCTCAGGTCTACTCTGACTATTGTAAGGGACCTTACGCCCCCCTTATCTCCCAAGTTTTACCTTATCTTTAGTTCTTAAGGATTACCCATATGATATGCCAATTGTTATTATGACAAGTTGCAAAGTCACGCTTCGATGTTTGCAGACAATGATGAGACGATAGCATCTCCCTTAAATCCACATTTGGCGTCACGATCTATCATTAGCAACCATGGTCGGGCGGCACAACCACAAGGAGGATTTGGATATGTTCCTATAGGAATGCCATTCTCCATCTCTCTCCCAACGACGGTGATGCTCTCTCTTCCATCTCTATTTTTCCTCTCTGCGTGGTCTCTCTTCCTGCTATCTCATTATCTCTCGGATTCCTTCTCTCTATATCTCGTGATCTGCTTTCTCCGTGGTTAATTGTGGTGACGCGACGGGTGTTGAAGGATGAGGTTCTCGGTGCATTGCTGGGTTTTCGTAAAAATAGAGGAAGTTGAATACTGAAGGGTGGTTCACGATTTGTTTTCGGGGGTTATTGTTAAGGTTTTGAAAAGGGGTTGAGGGAGAAGAATGTTGAGTGGAGGTTTTGTGGTTGTTGAGTTCTTGCAGAGATGATTAAAGGTGATAGGCGTTTTGGTGGTGGACGCACGAAGTGAGTTGAGTAAAACTCAAAAAAAGTTCGGCGGAGAAGCCAATGGGTCCTCCTCTCCCCTAAAGTGTGATGGGTTTCTCTTCCTTTTTTTAATTGAGTTGTAACCTCCTCCCTTTTTGCAGAATCGAAAACCAAAGGTATTTTATTTCTGAATTCCCTTTTTCTTATTATGTCCTTTTCAACTTATTAAGGAGTTCCTTTCACATCCCAGACTGTTACTGCTTTTTTTATTGTTGTGTTTATGTTTGGAGCTATGTTAAGTGTGGACATCCGAAGAAAGTTGTCTTGGCCTTGGAGGTTTTAACAGGCGTTAAGAATGGACAATTGTTAGGTCATTGTGAAAACAGGCTCGTAGCAATATGTGATGCAGATTACTTGTTTTGGTGCTATGGTCAGCAGTACAGAGTGCAAACTGGTATCACATTGATGCAATTTCCTTTTGTTTGTATGTTAGCTACATGTGAGGAGTATAAACATGGCAACACTTTCTTGATGCATAATTTGCAGGTCATATATTTGTGAAAGTCAGAGGTTTTGGAACAACAAACAGTTGGTTCAGGAAGTAGTACAGTTGGACTTGGTCTTGGTTGCTTTTTTCCTTCTTTTTTTTTAATTTTTGGTTGTAATCAAATGTTACAAATTGAGAGTAATGGGCTTAAAATAAAAATTGTAATTGGCCTTATTGTGAACTTTGGAGACTTGAATTGAAATCTTTACTAGAAATTAAAATGGAATTAAAAATTGGATTGAAATTGAGATATTTGAGTTTGAATTGACTTGGAATGATTTTAATTGAATTAAAATGAAATTGGGAATGGATTGTATTTGGATAACTAAAAAAGATTGGATAATTGAAATGGATTTGGAAATGGTATTTGAAAATGGATATAAATGGATAATTGAGAAAATGTGGATATTAAATTGAAAGAAGTGGATTTGGAAATGGATTTGGATGGATATGAATGGATAAAAAGAATAAAAGAATAGAGAAATTGGTGATGAATGGATCTTGAAAATAAAATAGAAATGAGATTAAAATTAAATAGATTATTGGATGACTTGGATTGGAATATGAATGAAACGGATTAAGAAAGTGATTTGGGGACGAGTATAGATAATGGTAATGTGCATCCACATTTAAAATCTCAACAAATTAGCTTGACCGCCACAGATCCTGAACTACACCACACACTCAAATTCATCTTGAAATGATTTTGATTGAACAACAATCGGACAAGTCCTCAGACTAAAGGTGAAAGTCTTAACCAACCGATCAGTACTTGAACACACATTGGACCTGCTAGCCTCAAGAGACTCAACTGAACGACAATTGCCGATCATAAACACCAAGGGTAAGAAACCCTAATCTTCCAAAATCCTGATCCATAATCTTTCCAATCAACCCACTGATGAAACCCAAAAATGACACCTTTATGGCAATTTAGAGAAACTGAAGTTATGCCTTGATAAAACTCTGATAGGAACTGCTCATGACAATTGAAAATCCAACACCTGTGCCTCAAACTTGAGTACAATAATCAAAAGAAAAAAAATCTATGAACAACGGAAATCCAACTCAAATGAAAATCTCATGTCTAAAACCCTAATTTAACCACCTTTGAAGTTTCTGAAGTCAATCCCGGATTCACAAAAGAAGCAAAGCAAACAAAGAGTCTATAAACTTGGTTAGTTATGCAATATGATTGACCTAGAGTGATATCCAAAAGATCAAAAAATATGAGGATAAAATTTAGAGTATGACACCTATCATATTACTATTATATAACAATTCAACTTTCTCTCTTTTAAGTTAAAATTGTCTAATCCTCTTTCCTCCCTCTCTTAAAT